TTGACACTGATACTATACACAGGTAAGACGGGGAACTAGGGATCGAGCCCTGGGATCTGCATTCGCTACTGCGAACTGGTGAATACCGTTTCACTCCCGCTGGCCTAAATTCGAGGTCCTCCGAGAAAATTTAAGTCCAAGGCAGGACCTTTACCCCTCTGCTGTCTCTCGTAGGCTCGGACTATATCGGGAGGTTTTTCTAGAAGTTCAGACCTTGTAAACCAGTGGTCGTCTTCCGGTTCTTGATAGCTAAAATGAACCTTATACTGTTTCAGTGGACGACCCCTACCTCCAGTTCTGAATACGTCTTCAGCCACTATGCTATCGATGTCATACTTTTCATCGAGGTCACTATAGATAGGATCCTGCGCGTACGCTTCTTTAACCCTCTGCTGCAAGTCCTTCCCTATATCAAGATAATGCACTATCGCCCCAAAGTAATCCGCCCTTCTACTCAGAGCATCCGTGACTACGTTGTACTTCCCTTTGACAGGTTTGAGCTCGAAGTCGTACTGGTCTATCTCTGCGGCCCACCTAGTAAACTTAGGTGTCATCTTGGCCTGTGTCTTTAACCATCGTAACGTTTCATGGTCAGAATAGACTTTGAAGTGCCTCCCAAGCAAGTAGTGCTTCCAATGGTTTAACGCTTGCCTGAGAGCGTAGAGTTCCCTCTCATAGGTAGATGTCGCGACCTTCTCTGAAGGCATCCTGGCGGACATGAACTCTACGGGTCTATGCCCATTGCCATCGTCTTGCTGCAACACCGCGCCTATGCCGTACTGGCTAGCATCCGTAGTGATGACAAAAGGCAAGGACAGGTCGGCTACCTTAAGGACCGGGTACTCGATCAATGCCTGCTTCAACTTTTTCATGGCAGATGTGCAGTCCTTGTCCCACTTCCAGATGGTCTCCTTCCTGAGTAATCTGCGAAGGGGCGCAGCTATAGTGGAGAAGTTCCTCACGAACTTCCGGTAGTAATTACCTAAGCCCAGGAACGAGCGCAACTCTGTCAGTGTGCGTGGCGTGGGCCAATCTCTAATCGCTGCGATCTTGCTATCCTCTGGCTTAACGCCGTCTCCATCTAAGACGTGGCCTAGGTACAAAACTTAGGTCTTCGCCCAATCACACTTCTTTGCATTGATCTTGAAGTTAGCTTCCCTCAGCTTCTCCAAGACCTGCCTGAGATGACCCTGATGCTCTTCAATGGTCCGGCTGATCACTAAGATGTCATCTAAGTAAACTACAGATGTCATCTAAGTAAACTACAACAAATTTGTCTAACCACGGCCTAAACAAATCGTTCATGCAGCGCTGGAACGTAGCTGGCGCATTGGTTAGTCCAAAGGGCATCACTWTGAACTCGTAGTGCCCATATCTAGTCCGGAAGGCTGTCTTATACTGATCATCAGGATGCACCTCTATCTGATGATACCCGGACTTCAAATCTATCTTGGAAAAATACTTCGCCCCCTGCACTCGATCTAAGAGATCATCTATCCTAGGCAGTGACTCAGCATTCTTTACTGTAATAGCATTTAGACCCCTATAGTCTATGCACATTCTCAGCTCTCCCTCTTTCTTAGGAAAAAAGAGGACAGGCGCTCCGAAAGAAGACGAACTGGGCCTAATCTAACCCTTCTCGAGGAGCTCGTCTTACTGCTTGCGAAGCTCCTCTAACTCCCGCGGGGACATCCTGTACACCGCACCCTTAGGAGTTCTACTGCCAGGCTCTATCTCAATACGGTGCTGGATGGGCCGCGGCATCGTGCCTGTCGGCGGCTCAGTCAAATCTCTAAACTCTTTCACCAGCTTGGCAATCGCAGGGTCCATCGACTTTTCTTCCGTAGGTTCAGTCACTGGCCTAACATAGGCAATAAAAACCTGTTCCTCCAACTTCTCCCTTTTCACCAGTCTGGCGAACGCGGAGGCATTAAGGCAACAATGCGCCAAGGAATTCTCTACCTCGGACACATGGAACAAGCGGGCAGTCTGGGCCTCGCCTGACGAACTAGGGGGCCTACACTCGTGCTCCTTTAAATGGAGCGTGGCCCCGACTGCCTCTCCCCAATCTATTCCCAGAACAATATCAAATGGGAGGTTGTCTTCTACAAGGTGAGTCAGGGAGTGGAGGATCTTCTCCACTTTCCTATCTTTCTTTAGGTGGAAATACGCTTGGACACCCTCTACGTAATCCTCTACAACCATGGTACGATTGTCTGCGGGGATACTAACTATGGGGTTTGTCAATTTCTGAACTTTAAGTCCCAGCCTTAACTTTTGCAGCGCTTTCCTACTGATATAGCTGCGGGTGGCCCCTGAGTCTACTAGGGCCCCTACTTTAGCTCTAAAAATCTCTGTATCTAGTAAAATCAGTTGCCCTTTATTTTCTTTCTTCATCTTGGACCAGGCGGGCCTCCTCTCCTTCAATTCTTCAGCCACGCCTGTGAGGGAGGTGTCTAGAGAGATTCTAATACAAGCGGTCTTTGGGCAGCTATCTAGACACCGGCCTGCAACCTCTGCCATAGGCGCATGTGGTGTGGGAGTCTCCTCCCGGCTAGCGCTATGTTCCCCACATGGCCTAATGGTAGGGGCAGTTGCTACCCCTACCGGCGGCTGCCTTTTAGCGCTTGGGCAGCCGTTCGGGTTTCGCGATACTGAGGACAGTATTTAATGATATGGCCCGGGTCACGACAAAAAATGCACTGGCCCCGGTCCAATCATTGTTGCCATAAAGTCTGGTCCAGACCCAAAGATTCCCAAGGCCTACCTTGAGGTAGCCCTGGGTGCCATCCGCCTACCCTATAGGGAGACCTGTTTCTAGGATGGTTTTGCGGGGGACCTTGACCCCTACCTCCCGCTTGACGGTTTTCTCCTCTGCCGCCAACCCCTTGATCGCCCTGAAATCGGCTCCCTGAGGCCCGACCCCCTTGGCCCTGGCCTCGTCCTCCTCCTTGCGGCCTCCCTCCGGCCGCGACAGCAGCGTAAGTTCTCCCCTGACCCACACCGCTGTCATCTTCCTCTAACCCCCACTCAATCTGGTCGTAGGGGACCTCATCCAAACTACCCTCATCTAGAGTTAGGACAAGGCTATCCTTAGTCTTCACCTGCCTTGAGATAGTGCGGCCTTTCCATTGTTTTCCCTTGTTCAAGTCTTTGTGCCAAAAGGTAGACATAGATGCAGACTTGGCTTCAAAGGCCACCATCTCACGACTAAAAGAATCATAGGTAGTGGCCGGATCTTCGCTCTTCACGAAGAAGTGCCCTCGCAAGGCTTCGGGGATAGCCCGGTAGAAGAGGCCGACCAATTGGGTGTCTGTGACCCCATGGTCAGGAACAGCGATTAGTTCATCCATCCTGCTCTTGAGTGCCCTAACACTCTTCCACTTACGAGCGTGGATTGTCTGGAGCCTATCTGAGTTCTTGACACTTTGAGCGACATCTGCAAATCGCTCGCGCATCAATCTCAAAAACTTAGTGAGGGAGGTAAAGGACGAATAGGCAACTGGATCATCATTGCAGTTAGCGGCGCGCACTAGGGACCCTGCAGAACTGGCGGCCTCATCTTTAAGCGCATGGATCGCGATCAGGACATGCTGATCTGGGGAGACCTGTTGCAGATGCACATAGATCTTAACGTTGGCTTCCCAATTGTCAAAGTTCTCATCCCTTTTCCCACTATAGGAATCAGGGAATTTGACCTTGACTGACTCTCTACGAGGCGGGCGTGGTTCCTCCTCCTTGGGAGCTGCCACATTGACGCCTTCAATGGCGCCGATGCAGAAACGCTCTGTCTTCTCGAGGCGATGATTCACCTCGGCTCCTACGGCTCCTATTAGTTCGCGCGCGAAGTCCCGGAATCCCATTCGCATCGAGCGCACAGCTATGTCCTGGCTTCGGCCAAATTCGTACTGCTGCTCTTGTATCTTTGCTAACCGCTCAACGCTCCGGGCAAGGATCTCTACCTTTCGTTCGAGGTCTACCTGAGGAGTCAACTTTAGGCTTAGTTTCTGCACTTCTTCTAATTCCTTGACCGCCTCACTCGCCGTCTCCACCCTTCTCTTCTTCTCTCTCATCATCGCAAGTTTCCACTCCATCTTCTGTTCATCCTCCGTCGCCTGTCGCTTTAGCACATCCCTTTCTGCTTCCCATTTCTTCAGGGCGGCTTCCTGGTCATCTTTAGGGATATACAGAGTCACTTTTTCCTCCTCTCCCAAGGACAAGTTAGCAACCCACTCTGAAATCTGTTTCTCCATCTCATCATCCCTGTTGCCACTGTGGTGCCCTCTCCTTCTTTCTAGTGGCGGTCCCTCATCTTCTTCCACTTCCACCTCTTTCAGCTTCTCCTCTTTTTCTTTCTTTATTCTATCCTTCTCTCTGGCCATCTCTTCCTCTATCTTCTTCAATTTGGCCACCTGCTCCTCCTTCAAGTCCTTCTTCTTGGCCTCCTTCTTCTCCTTCCTCTCCTGCAAGATGGCGGCCATCTTCGCCTCCTCCTCCTTTGTGTACGACATGGTGGAGGTGCCGCGCCGGGTGTCTACCATGGTGGTGTCAGGTGCACGACAAAGGTCCCACTCCTCACCACTTGGACCTACCCGGACACAAACCTACCGACTGACTTCCTAAGGACCACAGGATAAGACCCTGTCAACTATGGTCACTAACCCAAGACTACTCTAAGGCTGTCACTACTAAACCAAAAGCTGATCTGGAGGCATTTAAGGAGATCCCCCATAACTCCTCAAGAATTATTTAACGCGCAGTCAGGACGACGTGATCAGTGTGGTTCTTCCTGGTGATTTCAGCCCACAACTCAGCCGTTCCGGCCTACTGTGCCACACCGAGAAGCCCGTCGGTCTGTACCGGTCCTTGGAGGGGTTCTTATCCCTCGGGACAGTCGAGTCGTCAGACACAGATCATCAGCCTTACTAGGTCCGGTAGGGGAGTGGTTCAACCAGGCCTCAACACTTAAAGACAACCTTCGTTTCAGCCTACAGCTCGGAGTTCGGACCCTCTACACTGAACTTAGTAGACCTGCCGGACAATACCGGTCATTGGGCTAGACGAGTTGTTTAACGAGCGCTCGCCGCTCATGCCCAGGTCTCCCGATGCCAGAGTAGAGATTAGTCCTACTAAGTCCCGTGCAGGTTTGGCAGCAAGGCCCTATCCTTCATCCACACAGCCCTATCACCTAGGAGAGAAGAGACTCAATGCAAAAAGAGAGACAGACAGACTCACCAAGTACCGTGGGATAAGTGCACATCCACAGGGTAAGGGGATAGGCTGTAAGGTCAACGAGATATCACCAACTCCAGCTTGGTCAAAATCTTGGTCGGCAGCTCTGGTCAACGCCTTGGTCAACACTGAGTCAACGCGGACAACCCCCTGTCAATGCTTGGTCAACCACCTTGGTCAATGCCTAGTCAAACCTCTGGTCAACCCTTGGTCAAACCTCTGGTCAACGGTCTGGTCAACGCCCGGTCAACCCCTC